GTGAAAATGTAACGCACCAGGAGTTCAGGTCATAATTTAGTTTTAAAACAAAAAAACTTAAAAACCACCAGATTTTTTTTCTTATTTTACTTTGAAATGAAAAACAAAGAGTAAAAAAATTGAGTACAGTATGCATTATACAATGTTAAAAAGTTATGTTGGAAGACAAACAACTGCAAATTATATAATGATGTTAGTGTTTACCTTCTGCTAGCTTAAATATACTTTTTTTTGCTGTATTTAAAGAAAACCTTCAAGTAAGACCAAAATTATATGTTTGAATCTGAATTTTGCCCAAGTTCCTTCTTTTACTAATTACTTGATTTTGGCCCTAAACACAGCCTGGTTCACTTTTATGTCCTATAAAATAAAACCAATTTTTTTATCTTTCACAGAAAATGAGAAAAACGGTGAAGCAATGGTGTTAAACGACCCAGAGGTGGGACGTGTGAATAATAAAATGAATTACATCTTTATTAAAAAGTGCTTTTTAAATGAAGTGTGTTTGCTTACAGGTTGAACGGGCCCACCTTCACAGTTTGTCTTTAGTGAGGTCATGTGTTCAGAAAGCCGTGGGGCTACTGAGAGACCCCGACAGTGTGGCATCAAGGGGCATGCAGCGGATGAACATCCTCCTGACTCTTCTGGGAAATAGTCAAAATCCAACCGGAGGTAATTTTTTTTAAACACTTTTATTTCCTGAAGTCAAAATAATCAGTTTGCATCTGCAGAGCTCACAGAGAGTTTGTTGGCCTTCACGGGTTGGACATTTCTGATCAAATGTTTTTATCAAAGCTGGTTTTCAGAGAGTTTTGTTGAGCCGACTGGCAGAAACTCTGGCTCAGAGAGAAGAGACGATGGGAGCTCCTAAAGAGTGGGTGAACATGGAGGCCAAGAAACGCCAAGCTTTGCAGGAGGGAGGGACTCTGAGGTAAAATCAGACTTCAGAGGAAACATCCGAAAAATCATTAGAACAAAATTAAATTTAAATACAAAAGTTGTAGTTTTAGTGGGAGTTGGATGATTTTTCTGTTTATAAAACTGGGCTGAAACTTTGTGTTGAAGGCATACCCTGTGGCGGTGTCTTCAGTCCACCGTGACGCCGGTCTTAGCCAGCATGTTGGAGGTCCTGGACAGGTACTCGAACCTGGACTTGGTGTCTGATGACAGACTCAGCCAGGGTCTGATTCAGCTGTGGTTGGACCTTCTGGCAGATTCACAGATCTTACACCTGATACCTCCCAGAAATCCAAGGTACAAATCAGCTGTTTTTTGCATTTGTGTAGTTTACAAACATAAGGCTTCAGTTCTGTGTGATTATACTTCCCAGCGAGTTGGATCGTGAGGTTCTGGTCCAACATTACTTCATGTTGGGTGGTGAGGAACAGCCGTGCTTGGCTCCGTTCAGCTGGATCATCAGAATGAACCTGGAGGCCCTGTGGGAGGAGTCTGAATTCATGCCAGGTTTTGCTTAAATTCAATCAGATATTAATGCATTTTGATATTCTGTAGTTTAAAATATGCTTTTTTTTTTTTGTTGTGATTGGTTAACAGTAACCAAAGAAGGTGGGTCTGAGAGGATTCTGCAGTTTGTGAGCACCTTCAAAAGCAGCAGGCTGGGCGGGTAYTTCCAGCAGCTCTCAGAGGAGGACCAACAAGAGTTCAAGCTTCTGTTTCTGCAGGACTTCCTGCTGCTGTCTTTCAACGTAAAATCAAAAGATGAGCTCAAGGTACAGAGATGATTTAGAAATTTAATGTTTTTGAAAAAGCAAAATGGTAATAAATGGCAGCTGTTTTGCTAAATTTAGCTTTTAGCTTGATTTTGCTACTTTTCGCTTTCAGTTTGCTGGGTTTAAATTTGGCTCCTCTAAAAATCTTGAACAGTCATTCGGCACTCAGCATTCAGAAAATGCTAATATTTTTTGTAATTTTTAGGTTTCATTTGCAGAGAAACTTGGCCAGGCTGGTTCTGAGGATTTGTGTTGTCCACAGGTGTTCATCGGAACCGTGCAGGGCTGTGTGTCGGAGCTCCAGGCCTCTGTGGGAGTCCCTGCTGATCTCTCTCCTGCTTGGATAATGGCAGCTGTGAAACACTTTGCAGCCCGACTTGACACGCTCAGCCACTTGTTCCTCCTGCAGCCGCAGTTGGCTGCTGATGTTCTCCAGCACAGATCCAAGAGGAGCGAGCAGCAGGAAATGGTGACAATATAAATATCATCTTTGAATCTTATTAACCTTCTAATTTAAAAGCAACAACAGCATGTGAGCCTTCTTTTAATGTTTTTTCATGGAGGTGGAGGACATTTTAGCTCTTGGTATCTGTGTGGAGCAGACCAAACTCCTGACTGTGACTTCCCTCCATGAGTGTGAGTCATTTGTGAGCAGAGTGGAGTTCCTTCAGCCGTGTCTGGACCGAGCGTTCAGTCAGAAATACAGCGCTCTCTGCAGTGTTTCCTGTTTGCAACACCTGGCCTCCATCAGGTGGGTCTGACTACATATTTTAAAAAATCGTGCGTGTTTGTTTCAGATTTATTCACAAGGTCTTTTAATCGTTTCAGGTGTTTGTGGCACGGGATGCTTGTTGTTGCATGTTTCATCCAGCACGTCATTTTTAAAGTTAAACAGGATGACTCAAGACTTAAAGATCTGGCTCTAAAACACTGCAACCTTCATCTGAACGTACGTGGAGAGGTTCTTCTGCACCTGTTTTTGTTCTGAACTCATTTAACGTTTATTATCAGTCCTAAACTGGGTTAGCTTAAAGACCCTGAGGTTTTGTTGAGTATATTTATGCACAATGAACCGCTGGCATGAAAGTTTATGTTTAAACCTAAATTAAAAATCGACACAGGGCTTTAGAGAATCAATACATTATTAGGAAAAGAAATATCGTGATATTCCAGTGTATTTTCTTACACCCCTACTGGAACGTCTTTATTTTTCTTAAATTTGACATAATACATGATTTTAMCCATTTTGTCACATAACTGGGATATTTTCTTTTGAACTAGGCTCAGTCAAAGTGAAACAGGAAGTGACATCAGAGGAGAGCTCTGGTCTTTATTTATTGAAACAATATTATTTGAAATCTGGCTCTTCTTCATCTCTTTGATAATGACTCAAAATAATCTAAAGAAGCATCAGATTCTTTTCTACAGTCTGTGTCGTTAGTTACTGTAGCACCTGTTCAGACATTCCTCTTTGACATCACTTCCTGTTACTTCACATGCAAAAATCTCAATGATTGTTCATCTGAGCAGCGTGAATTTTTTCCTCAATATGTTATTAATGTTTTATTCCCAAAAATGAATTAATATTTATTATAAAAATTTTAGATCACAGGCACTTTAATACTGAATGTGGCCGAATGTCTCTGCTCATCACATTTGACGTGTTTTTGAATGAATCAACAAGAAACGTTAATCTTATCTAATCTTGTAATTTCTGTTTGATAATTTGGATGACTTTAACTGATGATAGGTTTTTGTTTCTAACAGCTGATGCAGGAGTCACCTGATGTACGAAGTGTGAACACGCTGCAGCAGCTGATCCGAATCCTCAATTCTTTCCACAAAGAGTGCATCAGCCGAGTGCTGAGGTCAGAATCTGCAATAAACTGAAACAAAACTAGAAGAATTACATTTCCTGCAAAGATCTTGAGTGTTGAAAACCTTGTTAAAGAAGCTGAAATTGAGTTAAAAAAAAAAACTTATAGAGGAAAATGTAAACGTGATGAAGGTTTTCACTTTTTTTTCACACTGCTGATGAGTCGCTCTTTTTTTGTTAAAGGTTTGACGTTTCGTGTCCGGTTTGCCTGCTGGACTTCACCGAACCGTTAGTTCTGCCCTGTCAGCACGTCCTCTGCCTGCCGTGTTTTCAGAACTGCATTCAGCAGAACCGACGGTTCTGCCCGAAATGTCGGGACGACTTACCAAATGACTTCACACCGACTGTTTCTCACAGCGTCAAGTGAGTTCCATAAAAAAATTATTTCAGACAGAAATTACTGGAAGTGTTTTTTGAAAGTTTGTTTTAATATTTGTCTCTGAAAAGGAACAAACTGGCAACTGATGTTTGTATTTGTGTCCCATCATATCGAAATGAGGACTAAGTCAAATTTGTTCAAAATGGCCTAACTACATTTTCAGATTCCTGGCTTTAAAACCTTCAATTTGATACCTGGATCATCCTGATATCTTAAGTGGATCCAGAGATATGACTTAATTTGACTTGTTGGTTACAATAATACTTTACTGTTTGGTCTGAATCCTAATTTTATGTAAATTTATTGAGCAATTTTTGATGTTAATATAAAGAGKAAACCTCAAATAGTATTTGTATAAGATTTCTCAGTTGGAAAGAATCAAAAACATTGCTAGCTCACATGGAAAAATTCAAAAATTTAAGTCATTTTTCCTCAAAATCAGGTTTTTTGTTACTACTGCTCAAAAAAATGCTTCAAAAATGTTTTTTAGGATTTTATTTCTGACAGTTCATTCAAATGATAAGGCATTAATTCATTATATTTTGACAAAATTCAATTTTTGCACACGTTTAAATCAAAACCCTATATGTGCCTATTTTTCTACAGTCCACTTTTGGACTTAATCCTCGTTTCGATGTGATGGGTCACATTTGTCTCAAATAATACTGTGCTCTCATGTTTCATATTTTTGGTTATTAAAGGATAAAAACTGAAGAGGAGACATAAAGGAGAATTGAAAAAAATATATTCAATATTATATTATGTGATTAAGCATCTTAGAGCATTAAAAAATGAAAAACGTGGTAATATTAGTAAATCAATTTAATGTTTTTTTCAGCTGCAGGAACATATTCAGACTCCTGTTCATTATTACCCGACTTTCAAAGTGTGTGGTCTGAAAGAAACTACAGAGCGGTCTGAAGCCCTGCAGTTACCTTTTAGGGGATTAACGAGGTTTGTAATAAWTCTTTCTGTTTCAGGGCAGCCGTGGAGCAACAGGCAGCCATCAGACGCTGCTGCAACGCCTTCTTCCTTGAGGTGGTGTCCAGGTTCTGTCTGKCAGAGGAGCAGAAGCCCGAGGATGGCGTGGTGGTCCTGCTGTTCTCGTTGCTCGTCTCCGCTACCGGTCAGAGCTAAACCGWTAAATAAATAAACGATGTGATCTGAACGAGCCGTCTCACCCCGTGTCGTTCTGTGATGCAGGAGACGTTTACCGCACCAGAGAGCTCACTCCCTTCCTGGAGTGTGTGGATAACAGCCCCGTGGTCCGGTCGGTGCTACCCAAGCTGCTGCTTCAGTACAGGTGGGAGAGGCAGTGGGAGCGGGGTTATGAGTGATGTCAACACATCAGGCAGGTATCAACTCATTATAAGTGTGCATTTACAGTTTTAACCAGGTGAAGACTCACATCCAAAACTACCTGAAGAACCTGGAGGAGAAACTTTTAGACAGAGAAGACCAAACAGAACTCTACCTGCTGTTTGTCAACTGCTTCCAGGTTAAAAACACCACCTTCATCTTTTTGTTTCTGTGTAATCAGGTCTTTTTACACAATTATGTATAAATACGAATGTTTTTCAGGATTCTCTGCTGTGCTCAAAAGCAAGAGAAGAAGAACCTGGTGGAGAGCATCAAGCAGACGTCAGKTTTCTGAGCAGGATCGTTCGGAAACAGACTCCAGACAGGCAGGAAGACCCGGCAGAGTTTCTGCTCAACGTGGCCAGGCTCCGGATCTGTCTGAACTCTGCTGCCAAGCTGCTCAAGAGAGCAACACTYCAGCGTGAGCTTCAAACAGGTGGACAGGTGGAGGTTGCCGAGTACCTGCGGCAGGTGAGGGGGGTCTGTGAGTACGGCAGTAACGACTGGCTCCGGGTCTACCTGCTGAGAGCCCTCCACAGGTGCTCCAGCATGGACTCCATACTGACCCTAATGAACAATCCGGCCTGGAGGTGGATATTTCCTGCAGAGCTGCTCAAACTTCAGGTAAAAACTTCTGAAACAAACAAACAAAAAAAAAGAAAAGTTTGGTTTGGTTTTAATAAGGATCTTTGTGCATTTTGGGCAATATAATTTWTCAGTTTAGTTTAGTTTATTAACTTTAATCATATCTTAAAAAAACAAAATAAATTCTATATGCCAGGGCTATTCAACTAAATTTCTCCGGGGGCCACAGTTACTGCTGGTCAACAGCTGAGGGGCCGAACATCCAGCAATTAAAGTTATTATGTAAATAAACCAAGTATTACAAAGATCTGTTACCTTTGTAATAGTTTATTTTGCTGCATTTAATCATGAATACAACAWACAGAACCCTATAAAAGTAGTGATAATTAAACATTATCAAAAACAAAAAGAACACATTATGYGTCCTATTAGACCCAAATAACATTTTAACATCTCTGACTTGCCAAATTTTTAAACCAATTTTATTTTCACTTTCATCATTTTATCTTCAACTGCTTGTAGTTTTAACTGTCTTGAGTGTTTATAGAAATGGTTTTTACCAGCTTCTAGCCAAGATTGTGACGTTTCTGTAGATACCAAACATGTCTATGTTTAACTAAAAGAACTTAGAATAATTAAAGTAGAAAACTGGGGGTTTGGGCTTAAGAGATGAATAAACCAATTCCGCGGGCCGCCATTGAATAGCCCTGCTATATGCTATGAACAATACAAATCAAAAATAAAATGAAATGCAGCAGGAAGAAGAATAAAAAATTTTAATATCCGCCCCTTTTTCCCAAAAGGTAAATTCAAACCATCGTTATCTACAAATAACAAAACAAAAACATCAACTCCTTCTCAAACAACAATTTGTATAGATACACTTTAGGCTATTTCATATTACTTTAACAAACTGACTTTTATCATTCTCTTAAACATAAACATTAATCCGACATAAACGTCACTCTCCAGATTATTCCACAATCTTATTCCTTAGATTGAAGTACATCGCTCCTTCAAACTAGTTCGTAAGATAGGTTTCACAAACGTCTCTATCTCCATATTTTAAAAGAATACTTCTGTTCTTTCTCAAAGAGGAGGGTTCCACAGAACATGGACTACTTCCTTTGCTGCGGCACACCTTACAGAACCATAAGAACCGCCATGATCCAGGTTCTTCTGGAGAACCGGTCCGACACCTTTAAGGCAGAGCTGCAGGTGAGAGTGGATGTCGTGTAGATGCTGTAGTTTCTCCTAAGCTCCTCCTAGATGTCAGCCAAGCCTTGTCTAAATGTAACCCAAGCGCCTTTTATTTTTGTATGTTTTTGTTGTAAAACAATTTTTAAGCTATATTAACTCTTAAATGCCTATAAAATCATCTGGAATCCAATTTGTGCTTCTTCTTTTCCTTAGATTCATCTAATGTTTCGTCTGAAGCAGAGCTTTGTTTTGTTTTTTTATCTAATTATGTAAATGAAATTATTCTGTTTTCTCTGTAGAAGCTGAGAGGATCTCAGATCAGCCTTGTGCCTCTGGCCTTATTCAGACAAGTSACCTGCCGCTACAGGTCACCTGATGTGAGCGTACATCCTTCACAACAGGTACACAACAGCCGAAGGCCAGCTGYGCCATCTTAATCTGATTCAGAGCTCCAGTAAATGCTGAACTGTGGGACGTATGACTTTAATAGTTTTGCAGACAAACTTTAACTCTATTAAACTTTTTAAAGAATGAGAAAACATTCTTCAAAGTGCTCAGCTGAGKTCAGGCTTTAGATTTAGGAAACTTTACTTTTGTGTTGTTTCTTTTGTACAGGAGCRAGTGAGGCTGGAAGCTCTGCTCAGAAACTTCAGCTCAGAGGAGTTCAGKGAGTTCTGCTCGTCTCTTCTGTTTAATTTTGTCGGTGGACCGGGCTCACCTCTCCACATCAGCTCGGGTCTGTCGGCTCTGAGACAAACCCTCCTGGAGCTGCTGGTCCATCTGGACTCTGTGCTCCTCTGTGAAAACCCTCTTCTGGTTCCTCTCTACCAGATCGCCTTCCAGCCTGAGAACGTYGCAGTAAGCTCCTCCTAATCTCATWATTTTGCTTTTAAAATGTGGAATTAAAACTTAAATCACCTAAACTTCAAACAGTTAGAACATTTTTGTCGGCTTTGATGCACACTTGTTGTAAAAAGTCTTTCTTATGGTAGGATGATTGCAAGATTTTTACCAATTTAAAAAAATAAAGTTGATTTAAAAGTGATATTTTTCTTTAAATTTCATCTAGGTTTTGATAYAAGACCTATTTAAATAAAACTTGAGTCTAAAATAGATGGCTTTTTCATTCCTGTTGTTTCAGTTAACCCCTGTTTACACTGTGGACACCATCTAACTTTTTATAAGAATCATTATTTCTTATTTTTTTGGTCTCCAAGAATTCGTACCTCCCAACGATGCCAGATGATCACTCGAGTGAAGCCCGACAGTGGCTGAGCAGAGAGGGGAACCTCAGAGAGTACAGTAAGTTTTTACTTTTCTCACCCCATCATGAGTGAGTCTCATGATTCTACAACTGTGTGAACGCTGGCAGACAACCGCCCTAACAGAATCTGTAGTTTATAAGTGAGTTTTTTTAGATGTTTAAAAAAATTGTCCCTGAAATTTTTCAGTAATGTTTTCCTTCACTTTCAGCTTGTGCCAACGGGCATGTTTGCTTTGTGGGAGAGGTATGTGCTTTTTTTTTTTTTGTTTTGTTCCAGTTAAAACACAGAGCATTAATGACATAAGAAGATCATTTATTGATCCAAATCTGATCACATGTTCTCGCAGTGTGGAAAACCGATGATGAGGTCGAAATGTGCCGAATGTGGCGTTCCGGTTGGTGGAGAAAGACACGTCCCAGTGCAGGGTTTCACTCTGCAGACACATCACAGGTGAGTGTTTCTTCATTTTATCAGCTTCCTGAGGGGGATTTCAATTTATTGTGTCAATTTGAGCATGTAGCTGCTGTTCTGCTAATGGCTGTTTTGCTAGTTTTAGCCTTTAACTATTGGGCTGCTATTTTTTGCTTTATTCAGCCGTTTGACTAAATATAGATTTTTGCTTTTTTTTT